TTATGAAATTTTGAGAAATTCAGATTTTACCTCCCTTCATATTTATAATAGTTAAAAGCAGGACTCTTTGGATAATTTAAATCATCAATTTTTTTTTTTTTTTGTAAAACAGAAACACCATTTACCAAAAATCTGCTCTGAATTGTAAATTAAAAAAATGCAATAAAACTGTGACATTATTTAGTTAGAAAAGCTTTTAATTGCTTTTCTAAGTAAGATATAAGGACACTATTGTCTTAAGAAAATATTTTTTATGATGAATAATGAATTTTTACAAGAAATGATTTCATATTTTTAAAAATTTTAATTAGAATAATTTAACTTTAAATTTTTTAAATAAATTCTGTATTAATTTCACCCTTTTTAGATGATATTATTAAGTGAAAACTATATTTACTAATCGAAAAAGCATAGTACAAATTATCAAACACCAATATTTTTAAAAGAATTTTGAATTTTTTTGTATGTGTATAAACATGCCGATTTTTGTAGATATAGTGTTCATACACAACATTATTAGATACCAATAGTAAATTTAAAGCTAAAATATCTAATATTAAATAAAACATTAAATTACAGAGAATATTTTCCTAAATTTTTAAGATTACTGAGTACTTAATAATTATATATGCACTTATTTTATATTGTTCAGTTATTTATTTCATGGATAAAGTCCCAGTAGAACAACATTAGATAGACATTAAGCTATCAACATCTGAACAGGTTAAATAAACAGATACTGTTGTTAAAAAATGCATTTCTGTGATATTTTAAGCTTAAAGTAAATAGTATTTATTACAAATCAGATTAATTATACTTTAAATCAGCTAATATTCCTCAAATAAAATTTCAGAAAAGTATATTTTCTTTTTGGAAGATTTTTTTAAAGAGAATTATATTGCAATGAAAGATGACTAAAAAGGGTGCTAATCAAATATTTTAGAAAAAAAACAAAAAACTCCATCCATTCAATTTAAATTAGTTTTTGAAATGCAGCAAAGTGTTTTGTTTATTGGAAATATTAAACTTAATTAAACTGAAAACTAAAATAAAAACCAAGAAAGCTTTCAGTTTTAAAAATTAATTTTAAACATTAGGTATAGCGTTTTCTGTGGAAATACATACCTTAATAATTAGTTTTGTCCTGTTGGATTTTTACGTGAAGAGAATTTACTGGTTGAAATTAAAATAGTAGTTTAAAAATCATTAGACTCATGGTCTCCCTCTTAAAAATTCATAAAATTGTTTATATATGCAAAAGGGAAAAGATTCTTTTGTTATAAAGAAAAAACATCAGTTAGGAATAGAAAAGAAATCAATAATAAAATAATTGCAAGCATGAACTGTTAACTTTGAAAGCTGTACTGATATTGTGCATCTTCTTGCTTGAGAGATATTTTGCTTGATTTAAATTTACCTTTATTTTTGTATTTTATTTATTTACTTTTCACTAATCTAGTGGAGTGAAAAAGTGTAGTCAAACTTTAAAAATATTGACCTTGCTGTATAAGTATGGAATATCTGCCCCCCCCCCCCACCATGCAGGAAATGAAGTAAAATGAAAGTCTATTTTTATTTTTTAAACCTCCTTTTACTAATGATTTTATGGTTTTAAATAATTTTCAAAGACTTATCTTTTTATATTGATTCATTTGTTTAAATGAAGTCAGTGTTTTAGGAAATGAAAAAAATCTCCAAATAACTCTAATTTAATTCTTCTTAAAACATCAGTTTTGACTTTAATTTTTAAAAACTGTTAGAAATGTCCTTAAAATTGAAAAATCTTTTTTTAATAAATTACAATAGAAAATAAAGATTTTATGCTAAACATAGCTTGTGTTGCCTGAAGTTATGAGATGAAATATTGTCATTAATTCATGACTTATTCAGTACTTTCATCTTTGTTTTGATCACTGTTATATATATAAATTTTTAGATATGCTATATTTATTAGTTAAAGTGTTCAATATCAGGGATAGAGCATATGCAAATATAAAAGTAGACATTGAAGTCAACACCCAGAAGTGACAGTCTGTTTCATGCTTAAACGCAATCATCAAGCCTGACAATTGTATTTAAGCATGAAACTCTACATCAACTCTACACCTGAAGAACATGGCGTACAAAGTCTATTCTGATATCATCTGAGGTGAAATACATACTTCTTTAGTAAGTTTATTCAGTATAAATTTAAAAAATTAAATTTATTGAAAAATAGCATAACAATTAACAAACTCATCTAGTGTAATGAAATCAATTGTTATGACTGCCTCATTATTGTGGTCTTGTGTCAAACTATTTTAGGCTTAATCAGTGAGCAATTTATGCATGAATATCTGCTTTAACACAATATTTTTAAGAAATTTTTTTTTTTTTTTTTTTTTGTAATTTCAATCATTTTATCAATAATGTATGAAAAGGAAAGTAAAAAGACTGTGTTAAATAGTGAACATACTGAATGAATTGAACTGAAATATGGTATGTGTGCTTTTTTGAAGAGACAAGTGCAGTAGGAATTGAGCTGAATTGTGTTATTGAAAAGAAAAACGTTAACATCTATGTGATGAATAGAGTTATTATCTGCCATAACAGAGTTGCCTTTCTTTTTGACTTACTATGGCCATTCATTTGAGAACCTATTTTTTTTTTTTTTTTACCTGTAGGCAAATAAGGAAATAAATAAATAAGGAATAGTACTGTATAATTAGCATTTAATACTTTATCTCCTTTTTTCCTCTTTCATTTGAATGTGAACTCTGCAATTTATCACTTAGAAATCACTCAGGTATTTCTGTTTATTTTTTTCTTACATTCTTTCGTTACCTGAATTCAATCCTTTTGCCTACAATGCATTTTTTTGCCTATTTACAGGTGATATAAAAATAAATAAAAGCAGACTTTTAGATGATGTAGAGTTATTCCAAAATAATTCAGGTTGAAGTATGATTTATTATGAAAGTATAGAAGAGATAGATTATTTTTATTTTTTTTTCTATTAGCATTTTTGTCTTAAAAATTGAAATTGTTATCACAAAACCAGCCACAAAAAGCACTTTTATACAAATTCAAAATTTTGATTTTCCAATGATACTCATCAAAGATAAGTCACTTTATAGTATCATTTCAATACTCTTTTTTTCTTTTTTTTTTATTCCACTAGAGAGATAATTGGAATCTAATACATTATGAAGAGGTAAATTTGAAAATTTAAATTTGATGTAGAGTTTCATGCTTAAAGATTTAGCAGAAAAAATTTTTTATGTCAAATTTACTTCCTCATAATGTATGAAATTTCTTTTGACTGTACACTTACTAAACTAATCTAATTGCATTTTCATGTGTTCATTTTAAAAGCATTATTTTCTATTTTTATATATAAAAATCTATGTTGTACTAGGTAAGTTCTGATTGTTTCTTACATAAAAGACCTGTATTAATAAATGATTATAATTATTTCCCCATTGTAATTATCATTTAAATATTTATAATTTATAAATATATGCTAGATATTGGTGCATTATTATTTTCAATGATGTGACAAAATGAAACAAAATGTCATATTCTTCCTTAAGAGGAAAAGTTTAAATTAATTGAGTTTCTTTTTTGATAAATTTGTATTTGGGTAAAATTATTCATCCTGACTTTTGGCTCTGCATGTTCATTTTTGTCAATTTCATATATGATAATGATGACAACAACAACAACCATAATCACTTACACTATATTTCCCAGTGGACAGAAAACAGGAGGCTTTTCTTTTATTGAAAGGAATCTATATGAATAGAGAGAAGAACATTTCTGATTATTGATTGTTGCAATGGAAAAAAAAAAAGAAGAAAAATGGCCATCATCACCTGAGGCCATTTGCAAGACTTAGGATCAACACTATGATTCTTAATGTGATAGGATTTGTATATATTCCTGTTGAAGCCCTTCCCTCTCTTTCTTTCCATGACTGATGCAATGTGTTTATCTGGGGATGTTCACATGACGTGTTATTTTGATTTTCTTTGTTCTCTAACCAACTTCTTTATATTTTATGGTTTGTTGTATGGTTTTTATTTTTTTTTTATGAGGTAATCTAGATAAGGATGAAGTGAGGGTTGAAACTTCCTCAGGTCTCTTTAGGGTCAGTTTATAGCCACTATTTATAAATATCTTTATTCTTTCTTCTGAAGATCCCAGCAGTGATGATGCAACCATCAACTTGCTGCTCTCTTTCTCAAATAAAAATATAAAATTATTTCACTGAACACCAATGGCTGATAATGAAGTCATATGATCTTTTTTTTGGACTTTTAGAAATGTTTTTTTTTTCTTTCTTAATGCCTTCTCATGTCCATCCAAAAGCTTCTTTCTTTTCTCTATGATTGTTGTTGAGAATTCTTTTATTATGGGTGTGTCTGTAGATGAAGGTCATTCTGACCTATGGAGAAAAGTACGCTCAAGAGGAGTGCCATCTTAACAACATTCTGCAAACCATTTCTTTATCCTGAAATGTTTTCATGTCTTAGGATTTGATCTAGAAACATTAGAAAGTTTTTTGGATTGAATGAAATTATTTATTAATTGACCTTAATTTATGGTTGATATTGAGTAACCCTGGTCAACTCCAATGAAATAGATCCAGTATGGTAAGGAACTCATGAAAGAGAAAAATAACATGCAGAACCACCCCATTACACACACACACACACACACACACACACATAAAATGAAGTGCTGCTGGAAAGTCCTTTGCTTAACCCACATCTGAAAATGTAACCAAATGCCAGAATTTGCAGTTTGTTTACCTCTAATTCTTTAATTTATTCTTTTTTATATTTTCATTTGGTTTAATTCAATATCTATTACTTGTACTAAATTTTTATTTTTATATGCTTTGATTCATTTTAAGGTAGAATTTGTTGATTGTCAAATAAACTTATATAGATATGTTGTGTCAATCAAGAGTTTTAATTGTCTTTTTTTTTTTTAATATTTTCAGGTGGACAAGCCAAATGAAAATGGAGAAACTGAAGCGAAGCTTAAGCTTCCGCAAGAAAAAAGATCCTGTCCCTGAATGTTCGAAGCCTCATCAATGGCTGGAGGATGAACGCAAAGTTCGAGAAGGAACCTGTAGCTTTCAAGTTAGAGTAAGTGCACTTTTTTTTTGCTTTTTGCTTTATTGCTGTCATCATTGAATCTTGTATGGTGTTGGCCCTAAATCCTCTTTCACACTACTCCTTAGCAACTTATCCAAAATATCAAGCTCTTTTGCTATCTTCCTCTTGTTTCTTAGTGACTTTCTCTTCACTCTCTTCTTGATGGCTTCAATGACTCGCTTGGTATAAGCTGATTGCCCATCTCTGTGTAGTGAACTCTTCTGGTGATGTGCTAATAGTTATGTTAAGCTTGATAAAAAGCAATAATTATTTATTAGTAAATAGAATATAATTTTTTTAGTTTAATAATAGAAGCATACCAAAATGAACAGAATTCTCATGATCCTAAATTTAGCCAATTTCCTTCTCAGTTGTGCTATTCCAACTTTGAATGAAAGCCTGTATACTTACTTTATAGAAGCTTCTTGGTTGCTTTCTTTACCATATGTTTCTTTCACCTCATCATGAGTAAAGTTTTCTTTGGTGCCAGGATCTCTTTAAATTACCTGGCAAAGGCTTGATAGATTGAATGTGTTGTTTTCATACATTTTATAAGTGCTCAATGGGATTTTCTGCAGAGTTTAGTGACCAGATTTCATTAAGATATTAAAATAATTCGTGTACAGTGTGACTATATAGCCCTTTCTGCAACAATAACCAATGTACTATGTGTTTTGACTTCTTTCACTTTGATTAAAGCTATTTGCAATTTGTGTTAGAGTAGCCCTTCTGTTGGTTTGTAATTGGTAGGAAGTCCTCTGTTCACTTTTTGCCTCAATAAATTTTGGCTGCTTTTTTTCTCTCCTCAGGCTATGGCCAATAAATACTCATTATGGCTCAATATGAGCACTCCATAAACTGTGCCATTATGTAAATGCCACACTCTCCTGGTCATAATAACTTGGCCTTTATTAAAGTTACTGAATTATTTCTCTTTCCCTGTAACTGGGACATTGAAGACATTAAAATGAAATACCTTAGGCTAGCTTACATGCTTATATACCTCTGACCCTGATATGCATTGTTTTTTTTAAACAGTAGCTGCTATTTTTGCAACGTATCACTGGCTAAAAACTTGATTTATTAACAACAAATCTTAATCTAGGAAAAGCCTTCATAAAAGTGAGAATTGTGCAATTCATTGGAGGTGTCTACTTTTCAGATTGAAGTCATAAAAAAGAAAAGAAGCAAAGTCACCATTGTTGTCTGAACTTGTTGCTAAGTATTGGGATGCCCATGGACATTTTCTTCTGTGTGGAACAAGTCCTCTGTTGGAGCTGAAGAGACATTTGCAGTCAACACATAGGAGGGTAAAGGGGATGTAGAACTTGACCTTTTTCTTTGGACACTCTTTATCTATTTGTCTTTTGGTGTTTTCAAAAGATGTTGCTTTTTCATGGATTGCTCTTCTCCAATTGGTTCTTTCTGCTGCTTTCATCTTCCAGTTGACCAATTGATTTATTTTCTCAGCAAGGTGTTTTTGAGCTGATCCTTGAATTGGTGATGTGTGGTCTCTTACCAGATGCCAGCTTCAAGAAGAGGATTTGTTTGGGTAGGCAGTAATCTCCTGAATTCATTGTTGGGTAGATGGTGAAGAGAGTAGGAGCAAGTACATGCTCTTGCTTCAATTCTCTTGTGATGAGGAAGGTTTCTGAAAGGCTGGTTTGATGTTAGACACAACCCATCATTTTCTTATATCTAGCTTGGATGAGTGCTGTGAATTTCTTGGGACATCCATATTATCTGATGACCTTCCACTTGGCTGGTCTTGGAACGAGGTCAAATGCTTTTTCAAGATTGTAGAAAATCATTCCCAGGGATTTTTGTTGCTCTCTGCATTTTTCCTGGATTTGTTGCAAGGAGAAAATCATATTGATGGTTCCTCTGTTGACCCTGAGACCACATTGACTTTCAATGAGGATGCCTTCTGACAAGGTCAGGAAGTGATTGGGAAGGATCCTGGCAAGGATCTTACCTGTGATGGACAGGAGAGATATTCCATAGTAGTTTCTACAAATGCTTCTATCTCCTTTCTTGAAGATGGTGATGATATTTGCATCCTTCAGATCTGATAGAACTTTCTACTTTTTGTTAGATGAGGAGGAAGGAAGGAAGGGTCTTGTTTTGAGAGCTAATAAGCCATGTTTGATCAGTTGCAGGGAGATGTTACTGGGACCCAGGAGCTCTAAAGGACTTGAATGCAGCAAGAGTCAAGGTAGAGTAGTTGAGATAATTAAAAGATTTTGGTCAACTGCAGAAAATGGGCATCCACTAAGCACAGTTTTCCAGTCAAGTCAAGGTGATGGCATTCATTGTTTAGCCTACTTTTTAGAGGGCCTTCCACGATTGGGGTGGGCCATGGAAATTCCTAAAGTAGACCTGCCCAGCCACATATGTAGGACCTTGTGTCAGGGTTGCTGTCATTTCATGTAGACTACAGTCTACATACAATTTGGAGTTCCAGCTGTGAGTCAGTGCCTGCCCTCGTTACCTCAGCATCATCACCATAGGACTTGAAAGAAGAGAAGTTTGGAGAAGAGTACATGAGCAGAAGAAAAGTCTGAAAATCTTAGCTGCAACTTATTTGAGATGGTCTATGGATTGCCACTTCATGGCACACACACACACACACACTTTAGCTGACACCACATCTGGTATAGCAAGCCAGAGCTTGACAGGTAGATTCATTATGACAGCTGGCATTTGGCTCGTCTGACTTGTTTATTGTACATGTAGAATGTTGTCTTGACTGCCTACCTGCTGAGAGTCGGATCATGCTTAGTCTGATCCCTTCCCTGAATCCTTACTGCCATGGGGGACCCTACCAGCAGACAGTTCCTGATGGCATTGCATTCAGTTTCCTTGAAACGTGCAAGCTCCTCCACTACAACATATAAATATCGAAAATTTTGTTCATTTTAGAAAAAACAATATCAATTGATAAAAAAAATGAATGAGTGTAGAAAATAGAAAGTTGATAAATATAACTTTGGCTAAGCAAAAACAGAAAGTAAAAATAAGACAAACCATCTTCGAATTGCACAAAAGCAAATAAATATTAATACAGAAAACCCCAGTAGGTGTGGAAAAAGTTGAAAGAAATAATAATTAATACATATATAATTTCAAATGAATATAATAATCATAATAATAAATGAAATAAACAATAATTGCATATTATATTAGATTATTTAATTAATTTTATATTATATTACTTTTAGCAATATTTATATTTTTCAGTTAAACTTAAAATCCATTAATTTTTTGGAACTTTATCAATTTGAAAACATAAAAAAAGCAAAATAATTTACTAGAAATGACAGTAAATTGAAGATACATTTGATTAATATCTCTTTTATGTTATTTGGGACTAATGTTCTCATTTTATTTATGTATTATTAAATAATAAAAGTTGAAAAAAAAATTAATTTGATGCTGATGGTTGCCTTATATTTTTTGTTTTTCTTTCAGTATCTGGGTTGTATAGAAGTTTATGAATCACGGGGCATGCAAGTATGTGAAGAGGCAGTGAAATCACTAAAAAATGTAAGTTGTAAAAGTCTTTCTTTCAGCATAAAAATGCTACATTTTGATTTTGACATGCAAATCATTTTCCAAAGATTATGTCCATTTTTGGAACAATTTGACAATTCCTAGTATTATGTACCACCCTCTTTTACTGTTATGGTAGTAGCAGTAGGCACAGTAACATACAATATAGAATCACAGATTGTTTTACCAATGATCCTTTCCTGATTTGATCAAACACAGCCGAGCTAAATGGAATCAATTAACAAACCTGGTAGGTAACAAACAACAGAAGGCAAAGATATAGTGATAAGAAATAACCATTTGATTACTAAAATATACAAATAGTGATTAAATATGTTGGGGTATATTAAAAGATGAAAGATGGGGACAAAACAAAACAATGAGACAAAAATAAATATTATGGGACAAAACAATGGGTGGTGGGGAATTATCTTTTTAGAAAGATAAATATTATATTGATAAACGACCTTGTGCCAAACTTGCCTGAAATTACTAATGACAAAAAGTCAAAATGAGCAAAGATAAAACAGGCAATAGAATCAAATGACTTATCTGTTATTTGAAAAGTCTTTCTTTTTCTCTTCCTTTTCTTTTAGTGTCTCTTATATGCTTCTCTTTTCTTTTATATTTCTTTTTATCTTCTCTCTTTTCTCTTCTTGCTGGGTAGAAAGTTTGTCTGTGAAATGGATTTCTTTTTGGTTTCCTTTCTTTCTTTTCCTTTTTCATCTTGTCCAGGTGTTGAGTGAAAAATAAGTTGAATCTTTCTTTCTTTTCCTTGGCTCTCAGGATAATGTATCTATCTTTTTGTTGTATCTGGTTCTTTTAGCAGGTTGGAGTTTGATTTCTTTGAATCAACATTTTACTGAATCTTTTCAGCTCATAAACCTTAATAGATTTCTATCAATTCCACACATCAAAATTTATAGCAGATCATAGCAAGTTTAGCTGGATGTCAATTCAGTTTGAATTCTGAAGTGGGACTGACTTGGTGGTAGTCTTTATTTTCGTGCCTCAACTTTGGCATGTGATCCATGACTTCCAAATATGGATTTTTACATGTGTGGGTGAAAAGAGGTCACTGAACTTTTTCCTTTTTCTGCTGTATTTCAGAGAGTTCAAGGTTAACTTAATGTCTGGATAGTATCCAGTCCAATTATCATGCTAGCACAGGACCAAGATGGAGAAAGTGTACTTTTCACAGAATACATAATCTTTGCTCGAATCCATGCAAGTTTGATCAATTTCACTTTATTTCTTTTTCATTTTCACACTTTCTGAAAGTACTGGCTCATTCAGAGTACTTCTAAAATATAAACTTTACTGTTGATTTTAGAATAAAATTAGCTGATTGTTTGTAACAATAGCTTTTTTAAAACAAGCTGTTTTTGTGGATTGCAGCATTTTTTTTTAGATCTTTGTAATATTTATATTCATAACAATCAATTATTATTTTCTTTGTTCCTTTTCCATTATCTTAAAATGTCTAATCTCCCCAGTCACACAGGATACTATAATATTCAGAGCATTATTCTCTACAGAAAGGATAATTTATAATCTTCTTCCTTTCAGTCCAGCAGATATACATTAATTTTTCATTGAATCTTTCCATATCTAATCTACTAAGGCAACTATAATATTCAGCAGAGCATTATTTTATATTTAAATGATGAGAAACCTTTATGGTGACTTGATGCTAATTGCTTGCCTTCTCTTTACAAGTGTCTATGAAGTTGTAATGTTATTGTACAGACTAATAACACCAAACTGAAATTCTCGTACTAACATTATTGTTTATTCAACTCCAGACTTTGTCAATTACTGTCAGGAAGTGGGTGTATGTAGCATTGGGTTTTTCCCTGAATATTGATTCTACATTCTCACGTGGGTGTAAGAGTTTCCTTCTTTTCCATCTTAAGTGGGTGCTGTCATCCAGTTTACACTGGATGATTTGTTCACATCCCAAGTGCAGCTGTGTGAACCCCCTATTTACATATTAGGGGCAACTACTGGAATTTTGTGAGGAATGGAGGCTTAGAACAACATTGAGAAGTGCCTTAAAACTATACCATTGGTTGACTGATGCCTTTTCAGTGAAATTGGTTAGATGAAAGTATTCAGAAGCTGTCAATGGTTATGCTAGTACATAGTCACAAGTTAACTAATGAACAGATAGAAGCTCTTTAACATAGAGATTGTGTCTTGATAAAAAAAAAAAATCCATTTTCCAGCAGTCTGACATGAATTGACTAAAAAGCTTATAATGACTGAAATTCTTTTAAAAAAAAAAAACAGAAATGTCATGTTAGTTTGCAGGTGGAAATATCACAACATAAGGATAATAATGATGATTCATATTCTACATATCCCTCCTTTTTTTTTTTTATCTTGTTTAATGATGTTCAAATATTTTCTATTTCTTTTGTCAGTCATGTGATTGTTCTTTTAAGGTTGTTATCTTTTTTTTTGTTAATCTTATTTTCTAAAATATGTTTTTTCTTTTTGCTAATTAGTTTTGTTTTAAGATTTTGAAAATCATGTTTACTTAATTTGAGAGACATCATTTACATATAATGTTTCTTGAATGTTAACCATTGACATTGGTTTGGACAGATTTTCAGTCCAAAACTTACAAATTCTCTGTCACCTATTATCAGTTTCAACCTGCATAGCATTTTTTCTTTCTCTCTCTCTTATTTATCCTTTTTTTCCCCACTTGCCAATCAATTCCCACTGAAATTTCTCTTTTGTTCATGTTTTACAATTTTTTTTTCTCTTTTTGTTTTTTTAAATTATTTTGTTCTTATTTTCTTGTTTTATTATTTTAGTCTACAACCTGGTTATTGTGATGAAAAAAATGCCCCAAAATTAAACTGCTTTATTTTATTTCCTGTGTTTAATTCATAAGTTGTTTTTCTTTATCCCTGTGCCATTTGTAACCTTTTTGGCCTTCCATCAGCATGGCTAATGCTAACCTCCAGGAGATTAATTTGTTGCACCTTCTTGATTTAATGTATTCCACTGGCATAAATTGGAATGATTATAATGACTCAATTGCCAGGTCTGCTACTAGGAAAGTTGGTTCACTGTGTTGTGCTAGTCAATTTTTCTCATCACAATCTATCTTGCACTTTTACATATTGCTGCCATACCTGGTCTGGTACTTTTGACAAAATCCAAAGAAGAATCTGCAATGTCATCAGTCCTGATTTAGCATCTTGTCTTCAGTCACTTTCCCATTTTTCCTATGTAATATTGTGTCCCTCTGCCATTTCTATAACTATTATTCATGGCAATTGTTCAAATGAGCTCTCCTCTTTGGTACGTTTACTTCATGAATTTAAGCACATTACTAGATTGGCAGCTAGGTCTCATCATTTTATTGTTGAAATTGTTAAGTGTAAGTTCTATTCTAATAGTTTCTTCTCTTGCACTTCTTGCTTTCCTGTCACCTACAATCTTCAAACATTTAAATGAAATGTCAGTTGACATCTCCTATCTCCATTTCATCCTGAGTAACACCTTGTGTTTTAGTGGCTTTGTTGCCTTGTTTGTTGGGGTGAAATGATAAAAGGCAGAAAAGAAGAAACAACAATTTCAACATTACAAACTGGATTTGAGAAAATTCTTTTTTTCTGAGAAATACATTTCCACAATGTCTCTGTTGTATAATAAAGTTGCTTTAATGAAGTCATTTGCATTTTGCTTTAATTTGAGATCATCCCAAATAGAGCTGCCTTTAAAACTGTCAGAAGTACACTGTATCTTATCAAACAAGAAGGTATAAAATATGACCATTTACAAATTTAGTTTAGTTTGGCACAAGTCAATAGTAAAGAATATCAAATTCATTACACATTTTATTATTAGTCTTTAAGACAAGTCTATTAATGATTCCAAGCTGTTTTTATTTGTTGATTAAAATGGTGATTTTTCTTGGCTGCTTTATATTCATTTTTCATTAAAAATCAATATAATTGGTTTGTCTAATCACGTGTGTCTAAGTTGAAGTAATTTTTCCTTTGTTTCATTTTGACATTCTCCTGCCTCTTTAAAAGAACAATTTTGTAAAAGTATTTACCAAATTTTTAGCTAAAATTTTTTACCTTAGTATCTCTCTATTATTTCTTCAATTGTTTTTTCACATTTTGTAGCAGTGAAAAGTGCTTGGTTAAAAAATAGGTCTGTTTCTTTGTATGCAGATGCTGAATTTCATATGTGAAGCTGATAGAAAGTTTGAAGAGAAAATCCTTCATTATGCAGGAATGAATAATAAAAAATAAATTATACACAATTTTGTTTTATGGCTTATCAACTTTTATTAGGTTAAAAAACCTAATAAAAGTTGATAAGCAATAAAACAAAATTGTGTATAATTTATTTTGATTTTTATATATACAATACATAGGCCTGGTTTGTATGATAGTCAAAAAAGTAGATATAGATATGATAAACAAGTAAACTTTTGGTGGTGCTAACCCTCTGCATGGGGATGTAATTGATGTATTCTTGACCCTAACTACGATGTGGCCTTATACACTGATTTATTTCTATTATTTTTGTTTTATAGTACATCATCTTTTTCAGGTTATTTAATTCTTTTGATAAGTTATAGATAAGTAGATCTAGTATGCATAAGAAGCAAAAGGTAGGCATAGTTATGATAAAGAGGTGATTTTTTTCTTTTTCTTTGAGTGGATACCCTCTATGTAGGGATACAGTTAACATATTCTTCACACTCAACAGATTTATTTGAACTGGTTGTTATAATAAGAATATTTAAGCCTGTCATATTTAGCAAAATTTTCTTAATCTTTATTTAGTATTTGTTAGACTTATTCCACTTGAGGGGTAGGTATTATCCTTATTAGTTAATTTTTCTGTTAATTCATCTTTTTGCCACTTCTACTTGCTCACCTAAACAAAAGGATATAGATTCTAATACCTCACCCAAAGACTGAACTCTTGACTAACTGGGGGGAGGGGGGAAGCAAGAT